GAGAGCTTTTTGTCAGGCAGATGTAAGTAAGGTAGCTAAGTTTATATATAAAAATAAATAAATAAAATAAAGAATGGAATGTATGGAAGATACAGGATAGCACAGAGCATAGCAACAAAGGAACAACTTGACTTTTGCTAAATAGTTAAAAGTTTTTTTTAAAAAAACAAGTGCTGTTTTAAAAAGGGGGGTTTAAAACTATTCCCAGGTTTAGCCTCTGAGCCTCCCTTAGACCTGTCCTTCCACATCCACTTTCCAAATCCTTGGTTCCCTCCTCCTGCTGGAATATAATCTAAAGGAGGTGCCCGATGTTGCCATTCTTTGATTGGCAGCCCCACCAGCCAATCATCATATCTTTAAAAAGATAGTTCAAGTTCCTCTTTGTGTTACTTTTCAAATTATTCTTCTTCATGGTTCATTGAATACTTGTAGATAGGACTGGGACAAGTTTTTAAAAATCTGTTTTGCTCCTCTGCAGGAGTAAGAATGTTTTCTCTCTTCCTTCTTCTATGTTCAGCACTATTAACTTAAATTTGTAACTACCACAGGGAGATGAAAGCTGTGATTCTGAAGGCAAATGTCTGTCACCAGCTTCCTTGGGAGCAATGAGACTTCCTGCCAGCAATGTCTATGACATTTATCACACTTGATCCCCTCATAAAGGTCTAGTTTTTGCATAAAGGTCATCCTATTCTGCTTTAAAAAAAAAAAAAAAAAATGACGGCCATGTAAGTCAATGGGGAAACAGGGCTCCATATTTAGAATATCTTGCTCAAGATCCATTTATAGAGCAAGAATGGACTAACTCAGAAGCAGTCCAAACTGGATCCGACCATTTCCAGAGATCCAATCTATTTCCCAAATCCTTTTGGAGGGTTTCTGCACACATCCTGTTTATCTATCATCAACAGCTGTGACAGCGTTTATTTGGTTAGAGGTTTATTGCTTATTTTCTAACCAACTTTAAAACAAAAACAAACCTCAACCAGATTCATGCATGGAAGACTCAAGACACCATCTAACAGGCACGTGTGATGGTCACAGCAAACTGGAAATACTGTTTTTATTAAAACACGATGCTATGTTACCAAGACTGTGTTGATTTGCTTATTTCTAAGTCAGTTATATTGTCAATTGTCTTTACCTTGAAAAGGAGCTTTAAAATCTGTCCATTCAGGCAGTACTGAATTGCATTTGTCTGATTTGGAATTGTCCACTGATTTGTGAGTGCTGAAGGGGCTTGCTCACCTTTGAGAGAAAAGCGCGGGTGGGGGTCTTATATTGCTCCATTTGTGTTCACAGAGTGCTTGGAAAGCTTTGACTGAGAGGCACAGCATATGTGCCAGGTAAGTTGCATTCGAGAGTGGCTCTTCTATCATATGATCTGCATCACTCAGAAAAGCAGGCCAGTTCTGCTAGTATCCTTGGAGGAAGGGAAGCTGGAGGCTGTTGCTTACAGGACATCAGCCCTTGCTGGTTCCAGAATTTCTGCATTGTTCTCTAAGTAAGAGTCGAAACTCCTTCCTACAGCAAAAAAGGCCTGTCCCTGGTTCTCATAAAGATTGGTTATTTTGTGGGTGGATGTGTGAGAAGGGCAAGGTCACTTCAGAACAAATGCGCCTCTGTGTATACTCCTTGTGATCACACTGCCAACTTAACCGTTTATTTAGTTTGCTAACTTCCACTCCTCCCCCCACCTCCCCACCCTCTTTCCTGTAGATCTCATAAAACAAGGCCGAGAGAGGTTGGAACAGACCATCAAGGCCTCCAGCTCCAGGCTGTGCTCCTAGTGAGTATCTGTTTCTTTCTGTCAGTGGAGTGCTGTTCCTTTAAAACTCAGATGGAGGATGCCCTCCTACAAGGAATAAGCAGTGAATTGAGCCGGCTGGCACAGGCATGATGCAGAGGGAACCACCACTTGCACAAGCTGGGATTGGTTGCTCAATATGGCTTTGTTACTCAATTCTGCTTCTGAGGAGAGCTTTTTGTCAGGCAGATGTAAGTAAGGTAGCTAAGTAAGATATCTGAAAAAGAGACTGAACTCTGGGGTCGGTATGGGGTATTTTGAAATATGGCGCTTCTACAGAGCCATAGCTTTTAAGAAATAAGGGAATATGCCAGTATGGAGCTACCAAATATTTTTTTTCAGTCTTTGCTGAGAGGGGTGGGGAGCATTCAGTATGAAAATGTCTCATGTTTGGTTTGTGGGAGTTTAGTGCCACTTTGCTCCAAAATGTTAGGAATCAGAGTTTGCAGGATACATATGCAGTTAATCTTCCTTGTTACAAAATGTCATTCGTTCTATGTAGTCTGTTAATAACTTCACGGGGAGCAAGGAGGAGAAATGTACAATAGGAGTATCTATTAAGGGCTAATTGCAGCTTGGGGGTGGATTTTGTGTGGGGAAATAGTAAAGAAGCGGCTTTGAAAACTTCAAAAAAGGCATTGGGAGATCTAATTACAGCTTTAATTGTAAAAGTGTGTAAAAAAACACACATTGCTTCTACAATTCTAACTACTCTGTGATGAGAAGCAGGGAAAAATAGATTAATTTGCTAACAAGATTTTAATTAATCCTGACTTAAATTAGGACAGGAAATAGCTGAATACCATTCCAACTGTTATCACAAATAACAGCTCTGTACTGGCTTTGTTGGAATATGGGTTTAATAAGAAGCTTCTGCATTTTATTTCTTCACTATGGCAGCCAAATTAACCCCCCAGTGTTTAAATAAGATCTATGACGTAATGGTGGAGTCTCAGTGTCTCAGTCTTGTTCCATTTCTCTCAGTTAATCATTGTCTTTTTAACCCACAGTGCTGAAAGAGTAGCTGTTTTAATGGACCATTCCAGAAGTCCAGAGCATAATAGCCAGGTAAGGGCTGAGACCTTAGTCAATGTATTGGGGATGCGGGTGGGGCAAATTTGAACAAAGAGAAGATGTCCAAGACCAGCAAGGAAAAGGACTTGCAGGTTATGTAGCTTCATCCACCACAGGCCAGCCTGTCCAAATTTGGTTCCTTTGGATTTGTTGGCTGGCTAGTGATAATGGGAGCTGAGATCCAGCACATTTAGACAGCACCAGGTTGGGAAGACTGCGGGTTATCCTGGTACAGGTTTCTCTGCAAATGTACTCTACCATCCCTTGCAGTTGTGTGGTTTTTGTCTTTTTTCATAAATATGGGGCTTTTTTCATAGTTCGTATCGGGCTGGAGGAGGGGTAATCATCCCTGGGGGTGGTTGGCACCTTGAAGATGCTCCCGTAGGTCGGTAACCTATTATATACCATCAGTTCCTTGGAATACATTATTTACTTATGAACATTGTTTTATTGCATTTTAATTGGTTTTTATTCTTATTTTTACTGTAAACCGCCCAGAGTCGCTCTCTGAGTGAGATGGGCTGTCACTAAATTTGAAATATAAATAAATAAAATAAATAAATGTGGCATTAGCTGGATGTAAATAATTTTTATTCAACTTCATGACTTTTTTTCCCTCCTATCTACAGCCTTCATCTCCAAGTGACAATATCAACCTTGGACCTTCTGCTAATCCCAAGTAAGACCACACAAAAGACTATTCACAGTACTATAGAGTATGAAGCAATTGCTGCTTCCACTTTCTTAGTTTGTCCTATTGAGCCTAGTCATTTCAAGTTCCAGTATAAGCCTCCTCTTTATAAGCTGCTGATAGCACAGGGCAGGGAGTAGATGCAGGGAAAGTAGTGCATCCCAATGATGGGGAGGGGATATTGCAATAAAATTACAGCCTCGAGGAAAGATTAACTGTGTTAATGCTTTACAAATAGGTAACCTGGAACCCAGTAGTGGGTTTCTTCTCCCTTAGAATTGCATTGTAATAGCTCACAGACAATAAAACATACATCTCAGCCTCAGACAGGGGTGAAAATAATATAGAATAAGTCTGTATGTCCTGATGTTCCTTGTTTGCTTTGTGGCAAGGGAACAGCCATGTTGGGGTAACCATTTGCCAGAACAGAGCAGCAGATTCTGGGAAAGTGAGAAACCGTGAGGTGTTAGAAGAAAGAGTTATTGTGTCTTGAGTCCTGCAGCCCCTAAATAAGCCCCCTGCCCTCATGGAGTGAAAGACACTGGGACAGAAATTAAAGTAAAATAAAACTCTAAGCTTATCAGCTTTATAGGCCCATTTTATCATCCAGGCTGTGAAAATGTATTCTGGTGGATTTAGAAAGTAGAGGGGAAAGTTCTAACTGATTCAGAACAAGAGCTTCGGTGTGTTCTTTTGTCTCTTTTTTCTAACAGTGCCAAGCCAACTGATTTTGACTTCCTAAAAATAATTGGCAAAGGTAGCTTTGGAAAAGTAAGTAGCCTAGTTTGGGAAGTTTTCTTGTTGACTGCTTGTTGATTCAAATGGTTTCTTATTCATGGCTTTTGACCTTTGGGAATTAATGTCCCAACTCTAGCATTTGCACTTATGGTGCTATTCTCCAGTCACGTTAGCCCAATCATAAGGCACAGTGAGGTGGCTCCCTTAGGTCATATATTTTGCACGCTATAAAAGGCAGCAACTTCTTGATTAATTATTCATAAGAAATACTTACTATTAAATTATTCCCCTGCAAAAATTCCCCTGGGAATTTTTTTCTTCAGTACCAAAATAACTAAACCGGCCTTACAACACTTAGAGTTGTATGAATATGCCAGTATATAAATGTCGTAACAAAAAACTTGAGTGAATAGGCAGAAATATAATTCATTCTTCCATTTCTCATAGAAAATTTCCTCAAGTCAACCTTGCTTCTTCCATATTTACAAAAAAAGCAGTGAAGTAGCTGCAGCTACCAATGATTATGATGATTGGCGTTTCAGTGAAGCTATCCCATATAACAAGACATGAAGCACCATTTGGGGCTCCTAATTTTTCAAATTGCCACTATATTAAGGGAAATTCAGATGAGAGCATATCTGTAAGACATTAAAAAAAAATTGAAATGTCTAGAAATGGCTCTCTTGGCTCGTCCTCATATCTTCTTTGTAATGGTGTGTAGATGCCTTACTAATCATTTTTGAGGGACATGTTCTTATTATGTTGCTTCCGTCTCATCCCAGACCACTACTGAGATAGCCTAGAGCCATCTTCAGTTGTTTCAGTTTGGAAGTGGTATTTTCCTTCTTCTCACGACATAAAACTTCCCATGTGGAAAGTTTTGAGTGCTTTAGAGATGATGTGATACTGGACAGGGCACTGCTCAGCTCCCACTGCCCCAGCAATCTGCTGCTGAAATGCCCTCTCCCTGCCCAGTTACTGGGCATTGCACTGCCATGATTATTTTGGCTTTGACTGCCTGGTCTTTTTCTCTTTATGCTGGAATATCAAACTCTCAGGAAACCAATAATTTTGTCAATCAGGAATCTGGCTATTTGGTACACACAGCATCTACCTATAAGGATGTATTTATGTTGTGTGCTGGAGAAATATGGAAGTGCATGAGAGATGTGGAATGGTAGATAGGAGAGAGAAAGATCAGCTTGATCAAATTCTATTTGGCTATTTCTGTTTTCAAACTGGCTTCAGGAGGATGAAAGGAAGAAAAGATCCATAAGCACAATAACAGTGAGAGCTCTCTGGTTCAAGACCCTCTGCTCTGTATTTCAAATCAGCTGTTCCAATAACTCAGACATATTTTGGCAGGGTGATGGTGGTGTTTGACCTAGGTATTTCAATCTTCCATTTCTCTGAGAGTACTATTGATCTCCAAGAAGATCAATACTCCAGTGAAATGATTTTGTTGCTGCTGCCAGCTAGAGTTTACCCAGATTACTATCAGGAGTCTGATAGCATCTTTTCTGACTAATAAATTATATTAAAAGGCATAAGCTTTCATGAGTTGCAGTTCATTTCATCAGATGCAGCTCACAGAAACTTATGCCTTTTAATAACATTTGTTAGTCAGAAAAGATGCTACCAAACTTCTGATTTTTTTGGCACTGTAGACTCTCCTTCTACAATGTCTACCAGATTACTATAGTTTTTCACCTCTATATAGTATGACTTTCATAGGACTGTTGATCTTCTGGGAGATCAAGAGCCCAGTCAGAAGAAGCATGCTGTAAGTAATAAAAAATTAAGGCTAAAAAAATAAAGAAAATTAAAGTTTAAACCCCCATTTCCACCCTGGCATACATTCAGTAGGGCAGTTGTGGTTGTTTTTTCCTCTGGTAGGTGACTATAGACAGTAAGAAAGATGTCCTTGACAGAAATATGCAAGACCCATTACCAAGGCAAAGAGGGCTGAAGCATTCTTTAAGCCTTGGGAAACAAGATAACATTGAGAAGCTGCTCAGACAGGTGCTGCCCTGATTCACTAGAGGATTAAAGATGCCAGGGGCAGGGGGGAGGTACAGCATAATCAGATTTGCAGGATTCTGTTATTATAGCCAAACTCAATCAAAGTAGTTCTAGTCTTCTTGTGGAGTTGATTCCTGGTGTGGTCTACCTGGTGGGGCTGACAGTGATGCTATATGGAAGGGAAAGGAGAGCAGGCAATCCACCAATTGCTGCCCTGATATTACCCAACATTAGTGCAAGGGCAGCACTAATTTATACCTAGCTACCTGGCTTGCTGCTGCTGAGATGTGGTAAAGATAGGCTGTAGGGGCAGCACAATTTATATCCATATGTTTTCTTCAAGGATGAGAGGAAGGCACATTCTTGGGGCTGTGAAGAAGAGGCCTATTTGACATGAATTAATTGGGCATTTGAAAAACCCTATCCTTTCTCTGATGACCTTAGGGTAGTAAGGGATTCTCTCTCTTTCCCATTCATTGCTCACAACAACCCTTTGAGGTAGGTTTGACTGAGATACATTGACTGCCCTGCAACCCACCCATTGATTTTGTGGGTGAATGGGAACTTGATTCAGATGATCCTCATCTTATTTATTTATTCAATATTTTACACTGCCCTTCTCCCAGCAACTCTGAGCAGTTCACAAATTAAAAAAAAATACAGTAGTAAAAACAAAGAACAAAAGATGGCAAAAACCACAGAAGCAAACTCACGCTTCCCAGAAGGGAGCTTCGATCACCTTCGCCAAAGGCCTGGGCGAAGAGACAGGTCTTCATGGCCCTTCGAAACACCAGTAGGGTGAGGGCCATCCAGATCTTAGGGGGAACCTTATTCCAGAGGTCAGGCACTGCTACAGAGAAGGTGCACTTCTGGGGTCTCAATAGATGGTATTGTTTCATCTAAGGAACCCAGAGCATGTCTACACTGCCAGATCAGATTGGTTGGGCAGAGACTATGGGAAACAGGTGGTCCCTCAAGTAAACAGGCCCCATGCCATATAGGGCTTTATAGGTAATGACCAGCACCTTGAATTGCACCTGGAACCAAACTGCCAACCACTGGTGCCATTGCATTCTGGACCCGTTAAAGCTTCTGGGTGGTCCTCAAGGGCAGCCTCATGTAGAGCTTGTGGCAGTAGTTAAACTGCAAGGTGACCAGGGTGCGAGAAATTGTCTGAAGGGCCTCCCGATCTAGGAAAGGGCACAGCCAGCATACCAGATGAAGTTGTGCAAAGGCCATGGTCTGATATAGTCATGGTTCCGTTTTAAAAGTCCAATTTTCTAAATTCCATTCAGAAATTCCAAAGTATATGTTCATTTTACTTTTTTTAAATGAATATCTCAGGTTAGCCTGTGATACTGAAAGCAATAAGCACGTATAAATGGAGTAGATAGCCAATCATAGGCTACTGCTACTGTCCTAGATTACTTACAAACCAAAATACTTTCAATTAAGTATTGATTTTTGCCCCAAATTTTTTTCCTTGGAATAGAGGTGTTTTTGGTACAGTGAGATTAGAAGAAACAAACTCTTTTCGGCATTCTATATTTCTTATGTTGTTAATGTACTGTATTGTAGATTTTTTGTTGCAAGCATTGTGCTTCTAAAACAGGCCAACTGGGATAGTTAAAGGCAGTAGAGGCTTCTTCAGTTCCCTTGGTCTCTCATTTCTACTATAGGTCCTTTTGTCCAAACACAAGTCTGATGGAAGGTTCTATGCTATAAAAGTTTTGCAGAAGAAGTCCATCCTTAAGAAAAAAGAGGTAAGTTTGAAAAATAATGTATTTACATTTTGTGTGGAATATTTTGCTACTTCTGCCTTACTCTGTAGCATGATCTTTTTTTTACCAAATGAAAGATGTTGATTATATTTCAGCACATGTAACAGTCATATTGGTAGACATATTAAAAGTACGCTTGTATGTGTATATTTCTATTGAGAATTTAATAGCAGTACATGAGAATAGTTTCTAGGCTTTAGGAACTATTTTATGCTACCCTCCTCTGATCCAGTTAGGAACTTGGTCTATCCTTAGTGAGCTCTACCATGCAAAAGAAAACCCTGCATTTGCTACTGGAATGATCTCTCATGCTCTCATGCTACCATCCAGTGATGGCACATTGCAAGCAACAACAAAAAAACCTTGCAACCACTGGAAACCAGATCTTCCCCCCTTCCTAAACCTCCATATCAGAAGGAACGCACTTTCCAGTGTACTTTTCTTATATTTTGTTTCTTCATTGGTGAGGCCGACAATTAAAAAGAACAATATGGAGGAAAAGTGAGTTAGGCATACAGAACCTTATAAACAGCTTGCAGATTGTACACAGTATCTGGTGTGAAAGCCGTACCATTCATACACAGTACCTGTAGTGGATTTCCTTAATAATCCAATTTATAGCCAAAAAAAAAAAAAAAGCCACAGAAGGGAGTATTAACTCTTTTTCTCCCTTTCTACAGTCCCTTTTTAAAAAACAAAAACAAAAAAACCCACTCTCTGCTAAAGATGCTATGTGACATGGGGGAGTACCAAGTCAAAACATTTGAGTGATCCCTCATTCAAATCTCCCTCTCTTTCTGTAGTTCTTCTTTTTAGTATGTCTTAAGAAAATCCTAACCCACATACTTACATTTTTGTCCTTCTTGGCTCTTGATAGCAAAACCACATAATGGCAGAACGTAACGTGCTCCTGAAGAATGTGAAACATCCTTTCCTTGTGGGGCTCCACTATTCTTTCCAGACCAAGGAGAAACTCTACTTTGTACTGGATTATGTAAATGGAGGAGAGGCAAGTACTTGTCACTGCTCTTTTTCAGAAAGCCTAGCATTACTGGTGAAATTTCATTTGCAACTTAATTTACATTGATAATTGACATTTTCTTCTTCATTCCTATGAATGATTCAGCACATGGCCAGATGTTAACTGAGTCAACCTTGGACAGAAGACTAAAACTATAAAATACCGAAACAGTTTCCTATGAAATTTTGTTAAAATCAGGCAATAATCTGGTTCACATAGCCGGGTTTGCACAACTAATAATAGTTATCATTATCATTATTATTTACAATATGTATACACCATCTCCCTTGTTGAAGCATCTTGAAGCAGATCACAGTGAAAAGAACAGCAAAACACATAATAAAGAATACAGTAAAATGAGAGCCAGCATGGTATAGTGATTAAAGGAACACAGAAATCCAAGTTCTAGTCTTCCCTTAGGTGAATATTGATACTCCGCAATATATTAAGAGTTACTAATAAAAAATAAAATCTACTCCTTAACAAGTGGGGGAAAGGGAAAATAACTCTTCAAACTTTCCAAGTGGGAGGGCCTAAACAAAACTGCTAAAAATATTGGGGCTTGTTTCTACAGTGTGTAATCCCAGTCAGTATGATACTGTTCTACACAGATCTCTTGATTCTGTTGAATAAAAGGAGCTGATGAGGGCTTATGAAACATTGTGCTCCTGTCCTAAGTTTTTATCTCTCTGTTTCTAGTTATTTTTCCACTTGCAAAGAGAGCGCTGTTTCCGTGAACCACGAGCTCGTTTCTATGCAGCAGAAATGGCCAGTGCAGTGGGCTACCTCCACTCACTGAATATCATATACAGGTAAACTATGTTGGAATCAGAGCAGATAGTTCTCATACTGATTGCTGCAAACTTATGAATATATGAATTAACAGAATGGAGAGGTTTGGCTGCCTGTGAGCTAAATGAAATGGACCTAGTTTCTCTGAGATTTTGGCATTTATTTAGAAATATATTTGTTCTAGAAAAGCCCCCCAGATCCTCTGACACATCCAGGTGATTCTATATTGGATATCTAAGAGTATGTTGTAGAGACTCAGTTTGGTGTAGTGGTTAAGGTACAGACCAGAACATGGGGGACCAGAAATTCTAGTCCTGCCTTAGGCATGAAACCAGGTGGGTGACCTTGGGCCAGTCACTCTCTCTCAGCCCTAGGAAGGAGGCAGTGGCAAATCACTTCCAAAATTGTGCCAAGAAAACTGCTGGGGCTTGTCCAGGCAGTCACCAAGAGGTAATACTGACTTGAAGATACCAAAAAAAAAAAAAAAAAAAGAGTATGTTGTAGGTAAATCAGAATCTCTAATAATCAGAGGAGAGGAAACTAGGTTGTCCGAAGAGAGGCTGAGGAAATTGCGTGTGGGTATATTTACACTTGAAAAGGATGATTGAAAATATATAGATATAGATGATACAGATATAGATATACCTCTTCAAGCCCATGGAGAGGAGTCACATAAAAGAATATCAAGACCAGTTGTGGATCAGCCTAAAGCTCAGGTATGGAATAATGGTTTTATATTACAAGGAGGAAGGTTCCAACTGAATATAAGGAAAAACTGTTTAAAAGGAAAAACAGTTTGACAATGGAACCAAGGAGCAAGGAAGGTATTAAGTTCCCCTTCACTGGATGTTTTCAAACAGATGCTGAACAGCTATCTGTTGGGGATGCTTTAATTTCCACGCTGAGCAGGGGGTTGGATTTCATGACCTACATGGCCCTCTTCCAACTCAATGTTTCTATGATCAGTGCAAGAATGTCTATGTCTGTATCACACCCAAAAAATCTTTTGTGAATGGCCACTAAATAAAAGTAATCATTTCCTCCTGAGCCTTCTAAATTTTATTTTCTTGATTAATCTTGTACTATTCCCCACTGTGCCTAAGTTATGAGATGTAGCTATGCTCTGTCAGAATAATACTCCATGCATTTAATGAAATTGACTGAACTTCACCAGATCCCATTTTTATGAAAAGTTACATTGTGACATTGCAAGCCAGGATTTCTTTCCATAGTGGTTTTACTACTCAATAATAGAGCATGGACCCACCTAAATTATGACTGCTTCTTCCAGTGTCTTTTTTGTACACATAGAAGAACTAAATATAATGGGGCAGAAGCTGAATGCAAGCAAACAGCATGTGCCAAAGTGTGCTCCAACAGGGACTATCACTTTACCACAAGATGGGCATCTGAGTGAACTGAATTCATTGGATGAAAAAGATAATTTGGAACTTACCAATCTGTTTTTTTTTGGAGACTTCAGGATATAAGTCCTTTAACATAGTCTTCCCCAACCTGGTGCCCTTTAATTGATGTGGCCATGATGCTTAGGAATTATGGGAACTGAAGTCTAGCATATTGGAAGGATGTGTTAAGGATATATTCAGAAGTTTGAAAGCTGGACAGGACTGCCTTAAGGTTTCTTTGTCCCAGCACTATATCTGGGATGGCTGAGTGGGAATCTATATGTTGCTGCCAGAGATCTGAATGTGACTTCTGTCTGCCCCTGCTGTAAGATATAAACAGCAATTCCTCTCTCTCCTTTTTTTAAAAAGGGACTTGAAACCTGAAAATATTCTTTTGGATTGTCAGGTATGTTACTGGTATTGGTGCATGGGGGAAATTACAAGTGCCGCTATGAAGAGAGATCAGATTTAATAATTTCTAATAACTACCTCTTGTTGCTTCCAGTAGCTTACTGTGAATACTCAGAGATAAAATATTTGCATGCAAATGGAAGCCCAATCTTTCTCGAGCTACTGCTCCTGAGTCGTAGTGCAGTTGCTAGTTCTTAGTAACTAGCATCTAGCATTATGCTTGTGGACCTCAGGGCCCACATTTTTCTGGGTTTTGTTTCCTTAAGATCACAACAGAAGAACTGAGCATCAGTCCAAACATTGTACAGATCTGTACCCACATAATTGTATTTCCCATTATCTTCATAGGATTTATCTGTTCAGAAGATGGCCAGTTTACATTTGATAAAAATATTACCAAAAGAACAAAGAAACAAGCTCCAGAATAGGATACCATGTTTGTTTTGATGTTTGTTTTGATTTTTTTTTTTTTTTTTTAGGGAAAAGAAACATTCTGTGCTAAAGAAAGATAACTTTGTTTTTGTGTCTGTGTGTACAGACAATAAAATTTGTAAATTGTATGACATGCACAGACTGACATATTTGTATTCCAGGTAAAAAATTAGGTTGCAGTATTTGGCATCTTTTACTAAGCTTCCAGAATCCTAATAATTACTCAATATTCTGGTCTTGTATATAATAATGTATAACTGAAACATACTTTGACAACCAAATCAAGTATGAAGCCTAAGTAGCAAACTTTGAAATACACCAAGAAGACTGAAATTTTTCCCTAATCTTTCAGGGTCACATTGTTCTGACAGATTTTGGACTTTGCAAAGAAGGAATGGAGCCAGAAGAAACAACATCTACCTTTTGTGGAACACCAGAGGTATGATCTAGTGTTTCTTAAACTTTCAACTTTTAAAAATTATGGAGAACCCCAAAAGAGCTTTTGTTTGTATGGGTTATATTTATCGATATTTATTGTATTAAAAATTAAAATTGACACATGTAGAATATTCATTTATTGAATCATGTAAAAAATAACAATATTCAACTCATTAGATATTAACAAAGTATTTTTCATGAAAAAAACTTATATTTTTAACAAATAAAAAATAATAATGAGAAGAGTGACATTATTTTAAATCTTTGCAAATATCTTCAATATTTGGCAAATAATGTTGATTTCACGGACCCCTGAGAGTGTCTTGGGGGGACTCTCAGGGGTTCTTAGACCACACTTTAAGAAATACTGGTACAGATGAATTATTATCATCTAAATACATGTTTCCTTACTATTTCCAACAAAATAAATTTGGCTTTTGGGAAGTAATTGCAATTCTTTGTCAGATGTTTGTGTATACAGTGATATATTATAATTAAAATTTCTACATCCTTCAACAGTACTTGGCTCCAGAAGTACTTAAAAAGCAGCCTTATGACCGAACTGTAGACTGGTGGTGCCTTGGAGCCGTCCTTTATGAAATGCTATTTGGCTTGGTAAGTTTTCCTTCTGGATTAGAAACTGAGGCTAAAAAGGCCTGAGAGTAGCTTTTTATCCTAATGTTTAAACAAGCTGATTTCTTTGGACAAAGGGACAAGAAGCGTTATCGGGTTTTGGAGGCAATATCAAAGCCTATCAATCTGTTTAATTAGAGTGGCAAATATTGAAGAATGTGTACAATCCTCAATTCTCTAGCACACTGTTTCTCAGCCTTGGCAAGTTTAAGACCTGTGGACTTTAGTTCCCAGAATTCCCCAGCCAGCATGCTGGCTGGGGAATTCTGGGAGTTGAAGACTACTCATCTTAATCTTGCTGAGGTTGAGGAATACTGCTCTAGCAGAATGGTTACCTTACACTGTTAACAGGACCCTATCTCATGCTGCTTAGTAGAATTAGCTGAATTTACCATATTCCAGCATAGGTGGGATTTGGATAACAGTGTCTTCAGATCATTTTGGCAGGTGCTCAGTGGATCAATTAATTGAATTGTATCTGAGATTTTGCACATATTAAGTCTGTCTGCATACCATACCAGCCATGTGGATGACTGTGTTCTCAGAAGCAGGACTGGATCAGATTAGATGAATACAGGTGAATTAATTGTGCAGCACACCTTCAATCTTATCTTAGCTATTCATTAGGGCTGCTAAATCTGAGCTGTAAAAATACAGAGGACCTAACACCAATGAGTTTGCAGTTTTTCTATATAAGTGTGCTGCCATCTAGTGGTTGCCCTGCATTTTTCAGCCCTAATAAGGTAGCCCGACTTTTGAATTCATTCAGTAATTTATTTTAAACAACCCATAACAACATATAACCCTTCCATTAAATCATAAAAACATAATCAGCATGAATTGCATTTTATCTAAACATGATGTCTATTGTAATTTATGCTACTGACCTTTTCCTGTTTTTACTGTCAGCCTCCATTTTACAGTCGGGATATGTCTCAGATGTACGATAATATCCTGCACAAACCACTTCAGATTCAAGGAACCAAAACCATAGCAGCTTGTGATATCCTACAAGGACTTCTTCATAAAGATCAGAAGAAGAGGCTTGGAGCCAAGACCGATTTTGTATGTGATAACAGCTTATTCTGGGAACCCCAGGCATCTTGTCTTGCTAAAAACTCTATCCTACTTGACAGAACAGTATTTTAACATCTGTAGCAGTATGTGTGAGATTTCACTGCTACTTTTTAAAATTATTTCTGTTATCTATTCTGTCCCATCACTGCTACTCCTTTATCAAATCATCTCTACCACCTTCACTTTCATCCAGCAGAGTTTTTTTTCTTTTTATAAAATATAATTTCTGTATTTTGGAAAGCTAAGGATATTGTTTCCTGCTTAATAAATATTTAGTAGCAGCTGTAATAACTAGATGATTTGGGATGTAAGCAATACAGGGAGTGTATTAGAGTGGGTTATATATTCAGTAGGTTAATGGTAACTTCCATATTTTGCTGCATCAATTTTCAGGGTGGGCACAGTGTATACTGAACAATGAAAACTAATAGTCATTTCCACTGCATACTTAATGTACTTCTGTATTTACATTTGCATCTCAATGTTTTGACTACTTTTCAGCACAATTCTGTACATCATGCTGCTTCCTAAATTATTGTTAATATACTGTTTCGCAGTTTTATAAGCATGCATGTGCATACAGTTAAATGTATGTTCAGAAAGTTGTGTCACTTTTAGAATAAAGAATTTGGGGCTATGTTAAAGGGAGAAGCTTAAGGAATCCCTAAAGAATTCTGAGATAGCTGAGGTGACTAGTTTCAAGTGCTTGTATGTTAAGCTGGGTTGCAGAAACAAGCTGGGCCTATTGCAGGTGTCCTGATTGCTTCAGTGGCCCTTCATGAGCTCCTGGACCTCATCTCAGAACATGTGAGGGAGTCTTCAAGACATATGGTTTTGGGTGATTTCAACCTCCATGCTCTAACAGAGCTCATGAGTTCATAGCCTCCATGGTGAATCTAAGCTTGTCACAAATAATTACAACTCTGATGCACATACATGGATACACACTTGATCTGGTCTTTACTTTGTCATGGTCAGATCGCTTTCTACTCAGACTGAGAATTTTACCCTCCCTGGACCTCTGCAAAGGCAAAGAATCTGTTAGAATGGTCCATCTCAGGAACGTTTCCAGAGGGTGATTGGGGATTTTCCCAACAATTTGCAAGTACTATGTTTTTGCTTCATAAATCTTGCAATACAGAAACCAATAGAGTGCTGGGTGAGATGGCACCTATGTGGTTTCTCTAATGACCAATGTCTGGTTTTTGATGACTGATGGAAGATTAAGTAACTGAAAAGAGACTAAGAATAATGATGCATAACCAGAAATAAACACCACTGAGCTCAGGTTCGAGCCTACTCAATAGCAATAAGAGCAGCAAGGTGTCCACACTGGAGCGGCCATGTGTTCAACTGCTTTGCAGGTGCAATAAAAGCAGAGGAATGCTAACACCTTGCTACTCTTATTGCTACTGAGTAGGCGTGAGCCTGAGCTCATACCAGTGCTTAATTGCGTTGACTTTTGGTACAATTAGCTACTTTCAATAGAAGAAAATATATGTAGCTCAGGGTTGAACTGTGGAGTCCTTGATGGTCTCTGAGTTTGGTTGTTTGCTTACAGATATTTCATTACCTGACTAAGTAACCTAGTAGCCTACACCCAGATAAGCAAGGATTAACACCAGACAATCAAACAGAAAACGATACCCTAATCAAGGAACTACCAAGGCAAAAACCACACCCTCACCAACACTGACAGGGCAAGCTACTGTATGTAAACCCCACAGTCACTAGCACTGATGTTACCTAGTTGGGTAATGAATGTCTGCAAGCAAACAACCAAGCCCATAGAGCACCAAGGACTCTACAATTAGCTACTGTCTAGACAAGGATGTTTTAGGAACCCATTTATGTAAATTTAGATCAATGGTTCACTACAACTAGGTGTAGATAAATATGTGCACAATAAGTTTTGTAAATCCTTAAGGCAAATAGCTGCTGAGCTTTATTTTACATTTTGCAGTTTGAAATAAAGAACCATATGTTCTTCGCTCCAATAAACTGGGATGATTTGTATAATAAGAAGATCACTCCTCCATTTGATCCTAAGGTGGTAAGTACTTTATCATGCTGTAGACAATCTTTGTGAAATTGTGAAGAAATGTTAGAAAAAGCTAACCATTCTGGGTGCTTTTCAGGGATTATGGATCTGCATTTTATAATTTGTAATGGACTTTCCTGGCATGTGAAATATTGAGCCAATTCAACGTTTTGTCTTGACATACTGCAGTTTGGCTTCAAAACAGAATTGGAAAAAGTTGAGGGGTAAAGGATGGCTTGGAGAAATCAGAGTTTACTCAGTTTGGCTATTAGAACTAATTAAAGATCTAATTACACATGGTGTTAAATGATTGTTTCAAAAAAGTACTTAACACTAGAAGAGAACAAATAGTAGCAATTTCTCTTCCTTTCCCCTACCTCTCTACCAGTGAATGGAAAGTAATTGGGGAGAACACCCTAGACAAGAAACCCAGGAACTTTCTCCTCACTTTCTGTACTCTCTCAGTACAGAAACATGGTATGCAATCAAGATTGTTTGACTCAGTTCAGAATGTTTTATGTAAAAAGAAAAAAAACTTTCTTTCAATAATCTAAACTTACACTCAACTCACTATAAGGGAGAACAGTATTTCAAACTCCACTTTAGCAGACTGGTAGGATTCAGCAGGATCCCAAAACATGTGCTGGGTTTCTCTCATTCTATACCCTCTGGCTTTGTTAAGGGGTGTTAAGGGAACACAGGTAATCTCTAGATGCTTAAGAGAGATTTAGGGTATTCTAGATAACTAGTTATTTTGTATTCAGTTGTTTTAACTGAACATATTGCACTACCATATGTTGTTGTTGTTATTGCCTGAAACTTTAAAAAATATTTTTTTTTTTTTTTAAGGCTGGACCAGCTGATCTACGACATTTTGACCCAGAATTCACTCAGGAAACTGTTTCCAGTTCCATTGTCCAAACTCCTGATTTAGCTACCAGCAGTTCCAGTGCAACAGATGCTTTCCTAGGTTTTTCTTATGCACCAAATGATGAAGATTAAAGCATCCCATGTAAACAAGGCTTGAGAAATCCAGTTTTAGCTCTTTATTTAAATCAGAGGAAGACATTACACACTGACTAATCTTCTAACTGGAAAAGAACCAAACTTTGCAACTTTGAGATACAGAGACTTACAATGTGAATGTTCCTCTTGAGCATTGCCAATCACTGTAGTTAAACTAATTTTATTTCTAGAGGCATGAACAAATTTATTGATACAACCTTTTACCAAAATGGATGATGTCCTAAGGGAACACAGGTAATTTCTAGATGCTTAAGAGAGATTTAGGGAATTCTAGATAACTCGTTATTTTGTATTCAGTTGTTTTAAGTTTGTGGCACTACCAGTTCAGACTAGTTGAATCCATTCTCTTGCAACATTATCATAGACTTTATGGCTCATAAATCTTTTGATTGCACTTTGCTTGTCATTGTGTATGTCCTTGAGATTTCCACAGGAAATGTTTGGGGCTAGTTAGAAAAGCTGTAACTACCTCTCCTTGCCCCCAATCTTTGTAGCTAGTCCTTCTATGACATTTGCATGGCATTGTATTCATTCTTCTCAAATTAGTTGTCACTCCATGTTTCATGCCAGATTTCAGGTATTTCTCTTTAGTACTGAATGCACTGCAATAAATGTAATTGGTGGGAATAACAAGCAATGATACAGTATACTAGATTCAAGGTCTTGTTGCTTTAGCTTGGAAATATTTCCAATGATCTCTGCTTATATTTTTAACAACCATGCTTATTTGTTCCTGTTTATCTGAAAGATAAAGTCTAGTAATAACTACCTCTTAACAGCACAGATCCAAAAGAAGCAAATGGATTTTGTTTTTAAGAACCCATAAAAACAAACAAACTGCCTAAATAAATCTGTTAAGCCCAAAATTGTATTAATGAGTAGGTAAAAGTAAAATCTCAATGTAGAATTTTATGGACACACCATATCATTTTCTTGGCAACAATACACAGATGTTTTGTCCCCTTTTCCCAAGACATTTTGTTGTTGTCTTTTTACTTCCCAGTGTAGCCTACAATCCTGGGATTTCCAGGTGTCTCCTATCTAAGTACTAAGCCTGACTATGCTTAGCTTTCAAGCACAGGCAAAGTTGACCAAGTGATTTTTATGAAAAAGGAACATTACGATTTCCATCCAGTACTATTATGCCAATATAGTATGTAGCCTTATTTTTTTAAATTTAGAACAAATGGTCTATGTCAAGTTGTTTTCAGCCACTCTGTGCCACATTAAATAATTTCAAATTATGCATTCCTCTTAAATCTTTTAGACTGTGAATAGTTCTTCCCACAAAACATAACTACTTGAATAGGCAAGATCTTGAACAGAGTAATAAGCTGATTCTAAAAGCAATTTCTTACTACCCACTGAAGGCAAAACACACAGTTCTGATAAACTACATAAGTAGAACCAGAGTTGGCTAGAATGGACATTAGGCATAAGAACAAAAATATAAAAGCTGGGATTTTCAAGAAAAGGTCTGATGCTAGATCTAGGGAATGGCAAACTCAGTTACAAGGAATATGAACTACAAAGACTTTGGTAGCTTTGTACTTAACATTTTTTTTAACAACCTGTGCCTAGATTTAGCATAGATTAGAGTTTCAAAAACTTCAGTTTTCAAGTGTTTGGAGAATGGCTAATTGTCCCAAGAACAAAAGAAATCATGTAGTGCTTTAAAGACAGACAAATATATTACAGTATAAACTTTTTAAGGCTACAGTCCACTCCATCAGGTACATGGAGAGTGACTCTTCAGAAAGAGTACTAGTATTAAAGCCAGGGCGATTTTTTTAGACTGTACTGTAGTATGTTAAAAAACTCACAATGACTGGATTCAGACGTTGTGCTAAGCCATAAACGAAAGTTTACAAACCACCATGGTTAGATTCATACATCATGTTATGCCAAATACAGCAATTCACATTTTGGTTTAGTTAAAAGAATGAACCCAGCCTACATTTATACATGTGTTTGTGTTTGTGTGTGTGTGTGTGTGTGTGAATGAATGAATATGTGAGTGTGGAAGGAAATAATAAAATGGGAGATAAGTTTTAAAAAATGAAATGCAGGTGAAGATAATGCCAATTCACAAACCATCTGCTGAGTACGTCACAGTCATTCTTGCATTAGTGCACTTGATTAAGATGTAGAATAATAAACTTTGGTCTTTACTTACCCCTTGAAAAATGCTGTTCAACTATGTATGGAGAAATGCCCCCCTTTTTCTTTGCCTTTGTAATTAAGACTATGATAGAAGCACTGGATTGGTTTACGTGACAGTCTCTCCTGAGTTCTGTGTTTCATTGCTATATTATGATAACATAGAATGTCTTTCCACTCCCATTTTATTCTGATAAAATGTTGAAGACGTAATAAAAAGTGTAATATATTTTACATATATATTCAGAAAACTCTTTCTTGCCTATTCAATGCTAATTTGTTTGCGTAAAAACAATGAAATGTCTTATCCTGTTTTTCTTTTAATACAAGTAATCCTTGTTTAATGACTGCTCATTCAGCCACCATTCAAACTTGCGATGTTACTGAATGAGCAGTAATTAACCGACCTCGTACTTATGGCCATTGCAGCATCCCGTGGTCACGTGATCACAATTTGTGACCTTCCCTGCGAGTTTCCCACAAGCAAAGTCAATGGGGAAGCCGGCAGGAAGTCGCAGTCACATGAGGTCCTCACTTAACAACTCATGCAGTCCTTGTTTAATGATGGCAACTGGGACTGCCGGGACTACTGTTGCTAAGTAGTGTAGTCATGTGTTTTTTAATTTACAATCATGTTGCTTAATGATGAAGTTTCCAGGCCCAATTAGTGTTGTGAAAAGAGGACTACCTATATGCCCATTTTAAGATTTGCCTGGTGGGACATTAATATGAGATATCAAACAGAAACTTTTCTGCCCTGATATCTGTGTCCTACCTTAGAGGGATTTTATAGTTTATCAGCCTTCACCAACCAATAGTCCTTCAGTTATATCAGGATTTGAACCTTTAGAACTTCTAACCAGTATGGCTAATCCTCCTATAAAGTACCAGATTAGGGAAGGTTTATATTATTTTAGTCTTTAAATATTGGCTAGAATTCAAGAATCAGAGCAATTTAATTAGACTCTCTTTAAATAAGGTCTAGCAAAGGTAAATATGCTGTCAATGGTCCCCTATATACTATTTATCCTCCACAGGAGTAAAAGCTGGAAATTTATTCATCAAATTTGTACTCATAATTTGGAAGTAAGACCACTACACTGTGGTAAATAATCTGTTTAACTGAACAGATCAGAAGTGAATGATTCACAAATGCTAAACTATCAACCATGGTTTATAAACTTTAATAGGTGGTTTTTCACTACATGCTATATCAAAGCAAACCACATCATGGCTTGGCATATTATGGGAATTTAATATAGATTTGCAAAAAAAAAAAAAAAACTAGTTTCAGAACTGCAGATGTTTCAGAATCAGTCAGCCTTTATCTGTGCCTTCAGATATATTGGAATATTTCTGTCAGACCATCAGCATGACCAATATTTACACACACACACACCTATAAAAGGCAATAAGATTCTTGGCATTTAATGTGATTGATAAATAGCTAATTGTTTGAAAGAGCATAAAGATTCCTTGTAGGTCATCTTGACTCCTGGTGACATGGCTTTGCTCAAGTGGGCAACAACACTAGTGGTTCTGTATTGTAGAAAATTTAGATGAACAGAACACAACACTCATGAGAATTAACCACCTGTTTATTCAACAATTGTTGGGTCCCTACTTTACAAGAAAGAGGAACCCTGAATAATGGAAAAGCAAATATTTTTATAAAAGTTGAGGGCAACAGGGTAGGAAATTTTAGGGATCTGATTTATTGGCCACTTTTGGAGAAGCTAGACAGGTCCCTGTTCCTGGGGTTATTTCTACTGTTAGGCAAAATGGGCTTTCAGGAGCAGGAGCAATGCTGGGGAAGTCCTTTGTTAAGGAGATGGAAGGCTAAGGTAATCAGGCGAGTGCCCCTGATTGAGGATGGAACCTTGAGGTTTCTCACCTTGTTACTCTGCTGCAATTCCCTTATTAGGGCTACCATCGGGCTGTACTGTGAACTGGTGAGGTGGCTTCTATCCTTTGGTTTAGATGGGATTACTGGGGGCTTTGTCCAGGGACAGGGAGGGTCAGTGTGGGTCTGATAGGATTATGCAAAGAGAGGAGCTGGGTTTGCCCCTCTCACATCTGCAAGACAGGGGAGAAGTGGGTGCAGCCTTCGTTTTGTTTGTTATAGCTCACAGTAATTTTCTCCATCACAGTTTGCTATTTCCTTGTTCCAGTGCAGATTTCCTTCCTTCCTTCCCTATATTTTTTATTACACATTTTTTAAAGATACAGGTAGTCCTTGAGTTACGATGGCAATTGGGACTGGAATTTCCATTGCTAAGCAATGTGATTGTAAAGAGTGACGTCACGTGACCGCATTGCTTACTGATAGCAAGCCCTGCAGTCCCCATTGCTGCCAGTAAGCAAGGATCGTGGGTCATTAAGCAAGCACTCCCTTGCAACTGCCTGCCAGCTTCCAACAACCAAAGTTAGTGGAGAGGCCAGCAGGGAGTTACAAGTTCCAGGTGGCTCGCAAACAGGCTGGCAGGCAGGTAAGTGGCTGCTGCCAGGTGGGAGAGGGTGCATGAGGGTGTGCAAGTGGCAGCAGAAGTGTGGCATGAGTGCAGCAGGGCTTGGGGTGACTGCTGCTGGGTGGAAGAGGGTGTGTGAGTGGCGGGGAGGCATGGCGCGAATGTGGCAGGGTTTGGAGTGGCTGTTGCTGGGTGCGTGAAGGTTACAAGGGTGCGCAAGTAACCAGGGAGGGTGTGCCAGGCTTGGGACAGTGCACAGGTGGGGAAGACTTACCCAAGCAACTTTTGACTTTCCCTGCCAGCTTACCTATTGATTTTGCTTGTGGGAAGCCAGCAGGGAAGGTAGCAAAACACGATCACATGGTGCTGCAACTGTTGTAAGCGTGAGCCAGTTGCCAAGCACCCAGATCGCAATCATGTGACCATGGGGGTACTGGGATGGCCAGAACTTCAAGCACCAGTTGTAACCACCACTAATTCAGCACTGTCATAACTTTGAACAGTCGCTGAACCAGTGGTTGTTAACCAAGGACTACCTGTAAATAAATAGAAGGGGGGAAAAGATGAAGAAAAGGATCATGTGAATAAAGAAGGGATTTACAAATGTAATAACTGAATATACCACATGATATATCATTTAAAAAAACTGAAAATAACTAAATACTAAAATCTCTGCAAAATACAAATATCAGGAGCAATGGCCAGCACAGAATGAATCATAAAATGAAAATGTGAACTGCGATTTTTTTAGAGAAGAAAATGACTTTTAATATACAAAAAAGAAAAAAACGCATTATTAAGAAACTATTTGCTTGCAAGTTGTCCTACCCATTGTACAGGGTACCTGTTAATCACAATTACAATCGATATATTGTAAACATTAGGAATTATTTCTGATTGTTGTTTAGGTCCATTTGGGTTTTTTCCCCGCACTTAGAAACCATAGTCTGAATGTCCAAGTTTGCCTTGTTGTGTAATATAAAATATATTGGGGAGCTATTCTTGCTTGAATTTGGTTAAGCTTCTATTGTGACTATACACCATTAATTTCACCATTGCTATGTATTCTCCAAGTTTGGTTTCCCAGTGTGATATTGTTGGCAAAATGTTTTCCAATGTTGTATCAAATTGGTCCTTGCGGCCATCAATACGTATATTAATAAGTTGTGGCATTTCTTATTTACATATTCTGGAAAATTCCTTGTAAAAATGAGATTTCAATTCAAAATTTATTTTTAAAAAGTTTTGTATAATGCTATGTATTTCTTTTCAGTAATTATGATTTTTTTTAACATCACTACCACATATAAAATATTCCTTCTTTATCATATTTCCAACATTTTATCTAATTATTGATGGAGTTATGTACCATCTATAAAACATTTTATACCAATCTTCCCTTAAGTTATAACTTAGAGTAAATTTTATTGATTTTTTTTCATAATTCCTCCAACTGTTATAATGGTTTATTTAACACTTTGCATACATTTTATCACACAAGTTTTGACTTGCTCTGGCTCCGTGTCATATTTTAATGACAATTTGTATATAGGACTTAATAGGTGGCCTTGATTCTGTATACATATTTCAACTTCTGTCATCTTTCTTAAAATTTCTCTTTCCCAATATCATTTTTTATTCTTCCGGTGATTTGTAATACATGACTGTAATACCATGGCAAATATCTGCCACTTTCCCTAAAAGCACACCCAGAGCAAATATAAAGCATTGTTGTCCTTTTCAGTGGTCACTGGAATATTTTTCTGATCCAAAAATTTCACAAAATCAGTATTAGCAGATTTGATATGAGAGTGGCCATTGAAATGAATTGCGATTCTGCACCCTGACCTGAAAAACTTACCTGCCTTGGTTCACACGTGTTAAACTATAATGAGATTGTCCCTTTTTGGCTTAGTGAAACAGGCATCCAGTTCCTGCCATGCACCAATCATACTTGATGGCATGGAATCTTGTGTGAATGTAGCCAATTGTGGTTTAGTCAATAAATCACAGTTAAGCAACCTATACAAATACAGTACATCCACTTTATGGTAGCAAAAGACGCAGACAACTATTTTGCTACCATTTAATAGTCGCCTGAATTTTGCAGCCCAAATCCAGTAGCTTGATAGAATGAGGGAATCAGGCCAAGTAGTTCACAGTTCTTGCCTCTTGTTATGGAACTTTTATCTTAGTCAAGAAAACGTAAACAGACTATAGCTTTGCTGGTAGACAAGCTAGGAGGATTAATAGAAATCCTAGAGGTTTTATTTGTTTTTAATTGCTGCTTGTTTGCGCTAAAGGCGGGGACAAACAAAACATTTCCCCCCTCCTCTCGCGATAGCAGAGTCCTCCAACAGTGGAAGATTCCACCGGCGAAGTCTTCCCCTTCAGCAGTTCAAAGTCAGCGAGTCTCTGCCATTCCCGGATCAGACGTCACCAAACCTCTCACTTTCTGTCTTCCCTTCTCTCCCACCTCCGGAGTTTTACCAGCTAAGCCGCGTTTCGAGCATGCGCAGGAAGAGAATCGCGTTGCTAGGGTGGAGCGGCCCTTAGTTACCGTGTGTTGCTGCTGCCACCGCGGTTCGATAATCTAGGAACCGCGAGAAAATGGTAGCGACCCCGCAGGTAAATAAATTCCTTGGGAGCTCTCCCTACGCTATATACGGAAAGAAGGGTGAGTTAGTAATATGTTGCGGACTCACTTCAAACGCTCGTTTTCCGTTCTTGCATTTTTAGTCCATTTACGTGCAGGAAAGTAGGGCTGGCTTTGGGATGTGTACAGCCCCCTCGGGCGGGGGCTCAGACGTCCCTTCCTTTGGGCTTGGCGGACTCGCTGGCAGACGATCTTTGCAAAGCATGGGGTGCCGGTAGGGTGCTTCAAGAGGAGCTTTCCCCATTTGGATGTAAGGTGGCCCCTTATTCCTCCCGGTCCGAACCGTTGCAGAAGGATTAAAGTGTGGCTGGGGAACTGGTGGCCCTTCAACTGTTGCTGGTGGAGCCGGACCAGCGTCGCCAAGGATGCTGGGAATGGTAGTTTAGCAACTTTTGGAAAACCAGAGATTCCCCACTCCTGAATTAAACAGATGCAAAGAACCTCGTCTTCCTGCCCAACGCCTAAAGGGAGGAAATCTTTTTCATCAGTCCCTTGATAGAGAATATGTTGCTGCACTTCCCTAGCAAGGAGTCTTGTTTCTAACGTCAGTGTGATGAGCAAAACTTCAGCGAGTTGAGGTGTCTGGCAATTCTGTTCCATAGAAGGTATGCATGTTGAATGTCTCTCTCATTCCCAGTTAACAACATAGGAACTCACCCGCAGAGAACATGGTAATTTTTTCCCCTCTGTGTGGACATATAATATTTATTTATTTGTTTATTTGTTTGTTTGTTTGTTTGTTTGTCAAATGTATATAGCTGCCAATCTCACAAAACAAGTGACTGTAGGCTAAAACAACAAGGCTACAAGAAGACTAAAAACAATTCACTAATAAATACCAAACTATTATTATTATTATTATTATAACATTAAAATTGTAAAAAAAAGGCTAAAATAGAAGAAATATGCATAAACTGAATAAGTATGCATCAACTGAACATGTACAATTTTCGGTGTGACAATGAAAATATATGATTTTCATATAGAATAGTAGTTTTTATCATGGTTTGTTGAACAGCCATAATGGTTTAGTTTGCAGATGATAAGCTATAATGGGTGGATCTGCACATCATGCTAATATAGAAACAAAGAGGCCCCATTATGGCTTAGCATTACATGTAGGATTACCAGATATCTGAAGAGGCAAACGAGGATATAGACAACTGGAAGGAGGACAAAGGACACACTGTTTAATTCTCTTGGCATCCACAACAAAAATTACAGTGAAAAACTGCAAAAAAATGTACTTAGGCCTACATGAATATGAAATTATTTTTTCTAGCATCAGAAAGTCTGGTTTTTCAATAGCAGGAATGTGCTAGAGCCCTTAGGAGGCAAAAGCCTTTAGTATGTAACTGATTAAGGTTGTGTCAATTTCAGGCAGAGCTTGTTAACTTGGGGCCTGTGCTGCAGAGAAAAGCTGCTCAGAAAGAGATAGCTTGTAGATACTCAAAAAGCCAGACAATATTTGATTTTAATGCTATGCCTGCCAGATGGAGGACATGAGGACAAGTCCTCCTTTTGCAGGATGTCTGGTAATCCTAATTACAATACAATACAATACAAATACTTTAATGACCAAGTATAAAATATACACAAGGAATTTGTCTTCAGTGACGAACAGCAAGATCAACGGTGCGTTTGGATAGCAACAAAAAATTAATAAACAGTAACAATAACACTGCCCAATAAAATAACTTTTCCAAAGAAGAAGCCACTGTCCAGTACATATCAACAGCAAGATCAACGGTGCGTTTGGATAGCAACAAAAAATTAATAAACAGTAACAATAACACTGCCCAATAAAATAACTTTTCCAAAGAAGAAGCCACTGTCCAGTACATATCAAATCATACAGTGTTTAACAGAGCAATGGCACAAGGGAAAAAACTAACAGTTATGTGTGAACCCGCCTTTTTCTGTTCCTCAATGGCAGGGATAGATCGAACAATAGAATTCCTTTTATTTTTCTAGCCGCAGATGCATATCTACATTGCGGAGCAGTATAATTCATGGTTTCTCACCAAGAACTGTAATCTGGAGAAGATGCTGAGAATTACATTAAAGAACCTACTGTTTTCTCTTCTGCAGCTATAATCCTCAGAATCTATTAAACTATTTGAAGTTGTTTTATAGAACTTTGTATGCCCTCTGTATTTGAGTAATATATTTTTGTCCTTGAAGATAATTTCATTACAGTTGTCTGTGACTAAATCAGTATTTTTTTTCATTACTTCCATTAATCTTTCTGAAAAAAATTGATATTTAAATAAAGGTTTTTCATTATGTTTTTTTCCCACCTCCCTTTCTGACCCCCCACCTCCAAAACAGGGAAAATTTCAATGGGCATTAAGGATATATTTAAAATTGAACCCCTAACCTTAGGATTTTGGATATCCTAGTTCCCAACATGCCACTTTCAAATCATATGCATACTTGGTTCCTTTAGTAGCATAACTGAGAATACATGATGCAAATATAATGTTTTTAGGGAGGAAATGTAATTGAAAATGTTATGAATGTTAATTGCTATTATAATGGGACTTTTAGATCAATTTTCACTCTCATAATTTTGTTTGTTTATTGAATTTAAATGGTCACCCACCTCATGTACGTGACTCTGGGCAGCTAATAATCTTTTTAGAATTGCTATAAAGAAGATAAGAATTTTAACAATCTTATTTTTTAAAAAATACTGTACTGCACATTAAGCTATGGACAAAATACAGTAATTGATATTTATAGTGCTTGTTTGCTGTTCCTTTTTTTTATGTGATTGTATTCTTTTCTTCATCTTTGAGGTAATTATGGAGGGAGATCTTCGGAATATAATTATCTTCAATGCTTCCAAAAAGGAAATTTTTACTATGAACAGTGGTTATAGGATTTTACAAAAAAAACTTCGTAGTAACTGGAAAATACAGAGGTAGGTGGAATTGACAGTATTTTATGTCTTTTTTGAAATCTATAATTTGTTCAGATTTTATTTCTTTAAATTTAGAGGCTTCTGAAACCCCAGATGGCTCTGAGCAACTTACAGTTAAAAGAGGAAAGAGCCATAAAACTGAGCAAAAAGAATCATGCACATCTAGAAAATGTACAATGTAACAAAAACAGCTGACAGGGGCTCAACACCCACTCTAGCCCCATATCAGTTCTTATGAGATAGGAAAGTGGAATATAGGAAGAAATGAATCAACCTTTATTTCTAGACCTGTGGTAAAGTTAAAAGAAGGAATAAAATGTTTGGGGAGCATAGGAGGCAAAGTCTGTAGAAATTTTGCATATTATTAAGCTCACATCTCAGCCTGTCTGAAATCTAAAATAAGGATAATTGTAGAAGTAATCCATATTTCAACATATCCGTGCATTAGTTGTCATGTAACAAAACTCCCTTGAGCCTTTCAATTTTATTCCACAATCAGGACATTATTTTGCATTTTGGATTTCAATAACAGCTTGATTTCTTTGTCCAGTTTCAAAATGTAAAAAAAACAACAACCAAAACCCAAATATATTCTAGTGCAATATTTAGTTTTGAATATTGTGATGTTAGAAACTGATGTATATGTTTAGGAAACAGTTCTGAATCCTCATCTTCCAAGTGGGACAAAAGCATAAATGACTTCTAAGTTAAGGCTTATGAAACTAAGGGTTTAACCTGTGTGCTAATATTTACAATCTATTTATTCCTCCTTTGGTTTTTCTGTTTATACTTATAAACAAAATAGACACATGTAATTTAATCTTATATTCAAATCTGTTATGACTTATACTCAAATCAGTTATAATAGCAAGCTATACTTAAACTAGGGTTTATTGTTTTATAAACCAGGCTAGTTTAAGGACAATAAACATGTGACTTAATAACACAATTCTAAGGTGGTTGGTTACATGCCATAAGATTTTCCTTAAAACAGATTGTATTTCTTTTCTGATTTTTGAATTGGTGGAATAACATTTCTTGTTCATTTGTTTGTAGTTTAAAAGATGAAATCACTTCAGAGAAACTGTCAGGAGTAAAACTGTGGATTACAGCAGGACCCAGAGAAAAGTTTACAGCTGCTGAAGTATGTAGTAGCACTAAATACATTATCTGTTTATTGGCCTGGTGTTAATTATATCTTAAACACTGAGAAGAACTTAAATATTCATTCATAGTTAATAAGGTTTATATTTTGGGGGAGAAACAGAAAGCTAAAGAATGGGAAGAAAGGGCATGCAAAACTGAAGTCCGCCCAGTTTTGCTGTACGCCAAGAAACAGATTGTTTGTTAGCTTGTAAATCCCTATTGCACATTTTAAAATATAGCAAAGTTGCAGGATCAATCTGATCATTTTCTTATTAAAAACAGAATACATGTTCTTAAATGGGATTTTGCAAATATTCAGATATATAATAAATGTTACAGGTCATGTAATATGACTGACTTAATTTTCAAGGAGTAACTTAACTAAGAAAAAACTTGTGAATCCAACCTTCTATCAATAGGACTAGTTTTTTCTGCCTTTTTTCCTTCTCAGTTTGAAGTTCTGAAGAAGTATCTAGAAAGTGGTGGGGATATCTTGGTGATGCTGGGAGAAGGTGGTGAATCTCGTTATGATACCAACATCAACTTTTTATTAGAAGAATTCGGGATCATGGTCAATAATGGTACAGTAATAACTGACATAAGAAAGGGATTGCGACTTTTATAGTCTTAAAAATGTATTCAAACTCTTAGTTCAAAATAGAAAACAAATTACAGCTAAATATCTATTTCAACACCTTTTATATTTTCACATCCAGACTAATAATATTAGTCTGAAAAACAAAGACATGGTTGTAGCTTTGACAAACTCCTTTATTCTTAATATCTGTTGATTTTGGAAATAATCCTGTACAAGAACAAATCTACCCTTATGTGACTTTTATGTTTTGTTTCTGTTTTCCCAATACATGCCTTTTTCACTGCATTGTTTTTATATTATTTTAATGTCAATTTTTTTTTATTTTGTGGTAAACCACTTAGAGATGCCACTATATGACATACTGTGAAGCTGCATCTAATTGTATACAGGTAGTCCTTGAGTTACGACTGCAATTGGGACCGGGATTGCCATCGCTAAGTGATGCGGTTGTAAAGAAGAAGTCACGTGACCACATCACTTATTGATGGCAATCCAGGCCGTCCTGGTTGTTGTCATAACCCAAGACATGCGGGTTGTTAAGCAGAAAGCAGGAGTCCCAGGTAAGGAACACAGGGGTGCCGCAGTGGGTGGGAGAGGCCCGGTGCAGGCCATGTGCAAGTTGGGGGAGGGAGTGCTTGGTGCAACGCAAGCTCAGAAAGGCTGGGGAATGAGGGTGTGGGGTGCATGAGATTGCAGGGAGGCCAGGGAAAGAGGGCGCAAAGTATGTGTATGCGAGCATAGGGAGGCTGAGGAAAGAAGGTGCAGGGTGCGTGCGATCACAGGGAGGCTGGGGAAAGAGGACATGGGGTGTGTATGAGGAAAGGGAGGAAGGAGGGCACAGTGCCTGCGAGTAAAGAAAGGCCAAGTGGGGGAGACTTACCCCAGTAATTTGCAACCTTCCTTGCCAGTTTCCCATTGACTTTACTTGGGGGAAATGGCGATCGCTGCAACTGATCATAAGTGCAGGCTGGTTGCCAGGCACCTGAATTTTGTTCACATGACCGTGGGGGTGCTGCAATGACTGGAACTTCGAGGACCAGTCATAAATCCCTTCATTCAGCACTGTCATAACTTTGAATGGTCGCTGAACAAATGGTCATAACTCGAGGACTACTTGTCATGTTTTGCATATTAATCATAATTTAATTTTTTTGTATTTTTTTAACAATTTCTGTAAGCTGCCTAGAATCTAGCAGGCTTTAGGCAATTAGATAAATTTTAGAAATGAATGAATGAATGAATGAATGAATGAAAGATACATAGATATGGGAAGCAGTAAACAAATGTGTTAAATAAGAGAATCAATATTAGGTAGACTGACACCTGAATATGTCATATTTGTTATGGTTGCACTCCTGAACTTTAGTTGGACAGAGAGCAAGTATGATTTTCATTTAAACATTGTCACACTCCCTTTGTTTGCTACAACTATTCCACTTGTGCTATAACTTCCCTGCATATTAAAATATCAGCAACCCGTTCCACTTTCCATACATAAACATGCTCCAGTGCGTAAGATAACAGAAGGGCCTTGGTTTATAGTAAATAGCATGCCAAGCTGCAGTATATTTGGGGCAATAGCAGTGCACAGAGCATGAAAGCAACAGAAGACAGCGATTAAGGTGGGTCACTAAAGAGAGTCCCTGTGCCACTGCACCTCTCTCATAGATTATGACTTTGCTATTTTTATTTTTGCTAGGATTATATATACACCGCTGATCATAGATTCATCATTAGAAAATATCTCCCTTTAGTTATGACCATGAAATGGAATCTCTGTCTTGAAGCATTGCAGTTCAGTACAGGGAGTCCCCAGTTTAAGGACGAATTCCATTCCCAAGGTCTGTCCTTAAGTTGAATTTATACGTAAGCTGGAACAGTATTGCATATAGTATAATACTGTATAAGTAGTATTGTGTAATGAACTCAAACCATTGTGTGTTTAACTTGAATTTTGCTACAATAGGCTCCATTCTTAATTATGTAAGTCTGTAACCTGGGCGTTCTTAACCCGGGGACTACTTGTAAATATTTGTTTTTCTTTCTTTTAAGATTCTGTGGTGAGAAATGTATATTATAAATATTTTCATCCTAAAGAAGCCTTGGTGTCCAATGGAGTTTTAAATCGGTAAGTCGTTAGTGGATAATAAATTGTTGCAGGCAAAATTTATTTAAATAACGATACTGTATTAAAATATTAATCTCAGTTGATTTTGTATTTCCCCCAATAAGGGAAATCAGCAGAGCTGCAGGAAAAACAGTGACTGGGATAATAGATGAAGATAGCGGTGGAAATGATTCACAGTAAGTATCTTATATGCTACATTGCATATGCCATGAATCTTTTTTTTTTTTTAAGTGAAAAAACTGTGTTATGGAGAAGTATTGTTACAGTATATTATATCTGGAAATGTACAATGCTGCAACATTTTAAAATTGGTTATGACATTCTTTGCATCTTTTTCTAGGGCTCTCACTTTTATATATCCATTTGGTGCTACATTAAATGTGATGAAACCTGCAGTGGCTATTCTGTCTACAGGCTCTGTCTGTTTTCCTCTTAATAGACCCATATTGGCTTTTTATCATTATAAGGTACATCACTGAGTCATAACTTCTGTCCAACTTTAGTTCTTTATGCTAAAATAAGATTTCCTCTCTATTTTGCCATTTGAAAATAGTAGACATGATTTCAAACAAAAGGATATTAACAACTATTCTATTCCCTTCCTCACCTGGTTTAGAAATTGTCAGAAATAGTTATTGTTGTTTTTAAAACACGTTAATGCAAAGTACAGTACAGTAATTATCATTATTATTAATATCTGAACTTGGTCTCTAGACCTAGATGTCAGCCCTTTGTGGTTGGCCAGGTCAGAAAACAGATACTGGTGGGTGGGGACGTGGCTAAGAGCTGAAATATTACACATATGAGCCATGTTATATGTTTGAAAGGAGTATTGGAGGGTTCTTTGTTTTTTTAATTGTAATACACCTATTTTAGGGCTGTACCTTTTCACCGTTTCTCAGATCAGCTAGAAGGAGCAGCAAAATATAGAACTGCTGTGTATGTTGTTAAATTTTTTACGGGCTCAAGAAAAGTAAACTTAAAAATAATGCCATAAATCTTGATCAATCTTTCTTGTTCACCAAAAAAAATAATGTTAGTTTTGATAACATCACAATAACCAGTGCAAATGCTCAGATATCTATGTTGATTAGTGGTTCTCTTTATTATATCACCTTATAAAAAATATACCTGACTTTTAAAATTGAATTAACTTTATCTAGATAGCATGTTTTAGATGTTCCCTTAGATAACTATAATTCATAAATGTGCTGTTCTTACATTTATTCTTTGATAGAATCAAGGTGGCAAATTAGCAGTATTGGGATCTTGTCATATGTTCAGTGACCAGTATTTGGAAAAAGAAGAAAATAGCAAGATCATGGTGAGTCATCATTTAATCTTGTAATACTATATCCTTTCAAATGAAAGACTAGTAAATTTTTCCTGAAACTCAAAAGTTAATGTATCAGAATGAGCATATTTAAAGCAATGCAAGTAGAAGGGTTTGCTGCTTTATCCTTTCCTTCAGACCTTTATTTATTTATGTGTTTATGGGACTTACATACTGCTTCAATCAAAATAGACCACATGGTTGTTGCTTTTTGGTACACTGATGCTAAGCCAGCCAATTTTTATGCTAGATTTTTTCCCATGAAAACCACTTTTTTCTTTGCTTCTTGACAGTTATAGTTACAGGTAGTCCTCGTTTACCAACCATTTGTTAAGCAACCATTTGAAGTTACGAATGTGCTGAAAAAAGTGACTTACGGCTGGTGCCCAAAGTTATGGTGTTGCAGTGCTCCTGCAGTCACATGATCAAAATTTGGGTGCTTGGCAGCCCATCCGCACTTAGAACTGCAGGGGTGCTGCAACTCCCCCCACCTGCCTACCTCCCCCATCTATACGTTTTTAGCCCCCTGCCACCCTGCACTCTGCTGATCTTGCCGTCTTCTTGCTCCCATTGGTGACAAGGCCTGCCTGACTTCAGCTGCGAAAAAAGAAAAAAAAAACCCGAGCAGTCCCTTTCGCAGAGCTCTTGGGCAGGGCTGAGCAAAGGAAATAAAACCAAGTGCTGCTCTGGTTTTTTTTTTTCCTTTGCTCAGCCCTGCCCAAGAGCTCTGTGCAAAGGGACTACTCGGGTTATTTTTTTCTCCTTTTCTCACAGCAGAAGCCCAGGCCAGCCTGCCCAGCAGCCAGGCTGGCATGCCTCTTCAACAGCGGGAGCAGAAAGACAGCAAGATCAGCTGGGGCAGTGGAGCACAGAGTGGCAAGTGCAACTCTGGCTGGGACTAGGCTGAGGTGACTGTGGCTTCCTGAGGCATGGCAAACAGCCCCAGAGCCACTTGCCACCCCACAAGGCAGGGCGCAGGGGGGCAAAAAGGCAGAGATGGGGAGAGATAGGCAGGTGGGGGGAGTTGGAGGCAATCCCTTACTTTACTGAGGCTCAGAGATGGGAGGGACCAAGCGTGGAAATGGCTTGGATTGGGGCAGTTCCTCAGCTAATGACCTGAAAAATTTGCTTAATGATGGTAAGAGGAATTGCCGGGATTGCAATTGCTAAGTGATGTGGTCACATGATGTCTCGCTTTACAACTGCATCGCTTAGTGACTGAAATTCCGGTCTCAGTTGTGGTCATTAATCGAGGACTACCTGTACTTTAATAGGAGAGAATACATCTTATGCAGATACAATCTTTTTCAGATAATTCAAGTAACTTTAAACACTTCATACTTGATTACTAGGCCGTACACTAACTCACTAATTCAATAAAAAGAGTTTTAAACTCTGTTAAAGGTCATCAAACTTTCACAGAGATAAAGGGAATAAGGGAGCTGAGTTGTGGGACCAGGTTTTTAGTGTTAATGTGGTTCATTTAAATGTTTCACAAGTGTAACAGAATTCTGTGGTTTCTTAGGATGTACTTTTCCAATGGCTTACAACAAACAACATTCACTTAAATCAGATAGATGCAGAAGATCCAGAAGTAAGTGTATATGCATATGTGTTTATGTACATAAGCTTTATTGCACAAACCATAAGTTGTAATAAAATAAGAAATTTTTAAAAAATTCATATGGCATCACGTAACAGAAATGACAGTTCACTTTTGTCATAAACTGAATAAGACTGAAAGAGCAAGATATAATTCTCTATTTTCAGATAAATATTTAAAATTTAAAATTACAGTTAAAAAATTAGTTATTGTATTGTACATACATGTGATTTCCTTTCTGTTATAATTCTAAGCCCCCCCCCTTTTTTTTTGCACCATAACCATAAGAATTTATTATGGGTATAAGCAGCATAAATGAATTCCTGGGAAAAATATAATTCCTAAATAAAAGGAAGATATTAAAGGCCAATAAAAGAACATAGAGATATAATAGCTAAGTATAGAAGATCAGCTGGATAAATACCTACGTTTAATTCTAACCATAATTCTTTAAAATATGTGACCAACAGAATCAGTATGGAGTCTCTAAGAGCTGCTTAAAGACAGATTGAGGCATATTGTACAGACAGTAGAGCAACATTTAGCAACATTCTGTGAAATGGAGTCAGACTGATCTGATAATAATAGCTGGAGGTAAAAAGAGTCAGAGTGACCTGAATGTTTAACTAGAAATGGAAATAGTAACTCCTGCTGAGCATTAACATAGTAGTAGTAGTACAAAACAACATGATTCAGGATGTGAATTGTTCTTTCACTGCAGGGGTACAATCTCTACTCAAATTGAATGTTTCAATATCTCCCCTCAGTAACAGCTGTTGGGTTAGATTTGATTAAAGAAAAGGCTCTCCTGAATTTAGGTACTATTATTTGGCTAAAATACCTTGGCTGGGCAGAATAGATGAGTAGATCTGCTCAGGAACACATTTCTAGACAAAGCTGACAGGTCCATTTGTATCTCCAAATCCAGAGGATGCTGCTTAAGTGTGAATAATACTGATTCATAGCCCATCAGGCTCTTGAGAACCCAAAGAATGTTAGTTTCTCATAGACTGCCTGGATCCAAGAGGAATTAAAGCTTTCAGTTAGAATTAGAGGAGCCAGAGCAGTGGGAAAGAAGAGTAACTTAAGCCAGTCAGAAAACATCCAAGTAGACGTTTCAGTTTTAAACAAACTGGCTTCACAGTGCCACATCATATTAGGAATGCAGTGGGAGGCTTGGAAGATGGTGCTTCGAAATTGGGACTGTACTCTTTTTGAGGGAGAGAATGACTTGTATGGGCCCAACTGAGCTCTAAAGAGAAGTTCACCATGGACTGTGGCTGAAAAAACTTTAAGCATTGCTGATACAAATTGAGTTCCTTTAAAAAAATGAAAGAGTTGGAGATCTGAGGCTGATTTTTGTGCATTTAGGATAACATAATTGACATGGGATTTACAATTGCTTAAGTACTTGAATAACTTAACTTGTTCTATCGGATTATTATTTAATTGTGAAAACCATGACCTTTGTTTTAGAATAGTTGATTTCAAGCATTTCTCTTCAGCAATACTTAGAGCAATACAATATTATACCTAGAATTATAGCAGAAATCACCTCTCAGTCTTTAAAAACACAGTTTTGCATGCATTGTGCATTATTGATATCAGCCACCCTTAACTTTTTAACCAAAAGGTTTGTAATTGTTGAGGCCAAGATATATCTGAAAATTTAAACAACAATGAAACAAACAAATCTGCTGAGATTTTGCAATCAGGACAAATTGCCAGATAGTAGAAACAGTACTAGAACATTAGCTGCTTTTTTAATTGTTCAAAAAGTACATTTTCTCTGAATAAGAACTCATCTAGATGTGGTCTTGTTAAAGTGTCCCAAGAATCTTGTGGTTTTTTCCATGTAAATCTCTGAATAGAGATGTTATCCCTGTATTTTGTCTTGTCTTGTACAGTATTACTCCATGACATACAATGGAGACCTATTTTTTCTGTTTTCTACTTAAAAGAGCAAAAATATGCTTCAAAATGGAATTTTGGATCACATGTATGTCCTTTCCTATTTTAATACTTCAAATAGGAACTGTATATAGGACATGTTCGATAGCTTTCAAAACTTGCATAGCTGGGAGAATCATGCCACTCCACATTGAAATGTTATAATTGCCATGGCCAAAGTTTCAATATTTTGTTATGATGTTTGAGCTAGTTTAGATTATATTGAAAATGTATTAGCCTGATTAATAACAACCTGTCACATTTTCAGTAAAGTTTTATTTGATCTGGCAAAATGTATGATTATGCTTTATCTCAATTAATGTTCAATGCATCCCTTCAACTACCACCCTTCCAAGATGGATTTTCTAATAAATAAAACAATTTCACAATCAGTGTTAACATTAGTATATTCTGACCAAAGTATTTTGCCATTCAAAGCATTTGTATTAGATGTATTTGCTTCTAGTCTGAAGATGGAACAAATTGGATTTGAATTACACTGCTGAGTTATAGCATCTTGGCTACTAATTAAAATATAGTTATTATATATTTACCTATCTTAGTAGCAATGCTCTTTTTTTTTCAATCCCAGCTGCTACTTTGCTCTTTGGTTTTTTCAGATTTCTGATTATACAATGCTTCCTGATATAGCCATTTTGTCAGAACGACTACGAGTTTGTCTGCAGGAGGGAGATGAGAATCCACGAGATTTTACAACACTCTTTGACATGTCTATTTACCAACTGGATACTACAGCACTTCCCAAAATTATTAAGTCAGTATCTGAGAATATCTATTATTCTCAAAATAATATCTTGTTTTTTAAAACACAACAACAAATTATACTCCTTACATTTTGGAGATTGAACTTTAATCATAAGATGTTTGGATTTAAATATTGCACTCATTGCCATAGAAATCTAAAATTAATCTACAATGTATAGATAATTGTGGCCTATTTTGGATAGGTGGCAATAATAAAAATTGTAGTAATATATAGAAAACTCTCAAAAAAGCAAGCAAATAAGCTAATGGTCTTCCATGTATGCACCAGAATTTAAGATTATGACTGTTGAACTATATCATCCCAGATCCAGGAAGAGGAGCAAATAATAATGGGCTGCAGCCAGGAAAGTATCTATGTTTTCCTCCTCTATGTAGAAGATTGTGTTTCCTAGCAGAGTTGGGAGAAAGAGTTCTGGGTCTATGGTTCTTCTGGAACTGATACCCATGTCTCCTCAGTGCAGCAAGTAGCACAGCAGTCTCTTCTTTATTTATACATCTGCCTCAGAAGTAGTTGTATCTTTTGTTTTTTAAGCAAAGTTCCCATTGGTGATACATAAGCCAGTTGCTTGCTGCTGTATTTCTTCTAAGGATGCTCAGTTCTTGACTGTGGCCTTAATGTATAACACCTTTTTCCTTATTGACCTATAGCACTTTACTGCTGACATTTTATATAGGTTTCTATGTTTGTATCAGAATCAGTATTTTAGGAATATTGTAAATTGTAAGGGTCAAAATACTAACCTTCTGTGAAGTATGCTGGATTATCTGACAGTATAGTCCTAAACAGAGTTATTTTGAAGTTGTCCCCATTCAGTTCTGTAGTTGCTTAATAGTTGTGTTTAGGAGTGCACTTTCAATAATATTGGTTATGTACTGTATTGTCAATTAGATGTTTTACATTTATTATCAGATTATGTAAGATAACTTTATTCTACAGATCTTATGAACAGCTGAATGTGAAATATGAACCACTTCAGCTAATTCAGCCACAGTTTGAAACACCTTTACCTGCACTCCAGCCAGCAGTGAGTAACAGTGTCATTTGTTGTTACTACAATAAAATAAGTGTGTAGCGAAAACAAGTATTTTGTTTCTGGATATAACAGTTGACCCATAGGTAAACAAATAATTAAGTAGCCAGGGTATATCAGTAAAATTAAGAAGTATTACAAAGGCCAGATAGGAGGCACATTATAAGACATTTGAATACCTGTAGTAAAGGTGAATCAAGCAAAGTGTTTGAGGGAAAGGCTAAAACTTGAGATAAAGGTTAACAGAAATAGAGATTATGAATATTGTAGGTTATAAGTAGAGCAGCTAATTGCTTTCTCAGGTGCATATGGTGTAAGTAAATGCCAAGGTTAAAATGGTTTAATTAATATCTATACCAGTATTTCTTTTTGAATAAATAAGGGCAAATCATACATGTTTGTTTCACCTTTTTGCTATTAGGTTTTTCCACCAGCTTTCAGAGAGTTGCCTCCTCCCAGCCTGGACTTGTTTGATTTGGATGAAACGTTTTCTTCTGAGAAAGCCCGTCTTGCCCAAATAACAAACAAATGTGAGTAGTCCAAACATTTGGGATGAGGTTGCTAAGCTAACTTGCAGGATGATTCAGTACTTCAGCAACTTAAATCCTCCACAGTGGGCTATGATTTCAAACTAAGGTTGGTGAAATTTGGGTCTGTAATTTTCTATTATGTTTTCTGGAAGTATTCACTTATGAATAGTGGATACTGGCTTTTTTTTTTTTTTTTTACAGAAATATATCCAAATAACAATTTCTCCATGTCTGGGTTTATAGTAGAAGTAAGTTTTGAACTTCTGTCTACCATTAATTGATTTAAAGCTCAATCTCAGTGATTGCATTGTAGTGGATTTTTTCTTGATAAAAGTGATGGAACGGACCCATTTATTTTAGGATTACCAGATGAACTGTATTTGATACCAAAAAAAAATCAATTTTGAAAATGTTGCAATTGGAGAAGAAAGCATGATGAACAAAGCCATACATTCTTGATCAGCAGAGAAGACTTTCTTTCCCATAAACTGAGATTTGGAAATCTCTCTGTTATCTCTAATTTCAGGGAGATCAACAGGTTGTTAGACCACTTTAGGCTTTTTAAGATGAGTAGAAGCATTATAGCTAGACCTCATTTTGCAGAGAAATGGGAAGTATTGGTGGGTGGTATATCTGTTATTGCACTCCATGTACCATTTTATACTGGCCTTTAGTTTAAAGAACCTACCTTCTTCATGATTTCAGTCCTTAGTTTTAAATGTCTAGCAAAGAGATTTCTAATTGATTCACATAATTTCTTAACATCTATCAAGACTTCTATTAAATCTTAGTGTTATTTTTAAGGCATACATTTTAATTCATTTTTGAACTTAACTGTCTGCACTATAATTCCCATGTTTTAAAAAATAAATAGAATTATTTTGTTTAAATTAAATCTATCTGTTCTTTGTCACTGAATAATACTTGGTTATTAGATGCTTCTAAAATATGAAAGTGAACTGGAATAATGAGACGCTATATGACTAAATAGCTATAGAATATTGGGACAATATTTCTGTGATAATAGAAAAATCTGTGGAATAAGAATCAATTATTTTCATTGATATTGTTATTCAGAGAAAACTCATAAAGTTATGGCAACATATGACTTAGTGTTTATAAACAAAATAAATACAATTATCCGATGTGTTAGAAACAAACAGATCATCTATCATGTATAGAAATGCCTAGTTTTACTGGTACGTGATGAATACAACAGAAGAACATATATTTCATTATGACATTTCATTAAATCCTGTGGTTTATTTTTCAGTTGTACAAATGAATTTGTTCAACAAACTCATAAGCAGTTAGTTTTAAAAATAGTTTTGTATGCAAAATATGGGAGATTGTTGATGTTGCTGTCAGTTAATTAATGGTTGTAAAATATGTAATCATTTGTCATTATAGCAAAATCCATAAATTATAACAGGTTGGAAATAGATGAAATGTATAATTATTTAGGCTTTATTGAATTTTATAAAACTCATTTGTTTTTCATCCTTTCAGAATGCCTTTCAGCCAGAAATTGCAATATCAATTTCCGTTTACCAATTATTACTATTGTTGTTTATAAATAGACCTGTTGCTCAAAGCAACAAATGTATAAACATTGAATAGAATGACAGCTAGCATTTATTAACGTTTTCTATGAAAATTAAACACTTACAGTTGATGAATGTATTAACTATCTCTTTCACACACAACTATGGCAATGTTTTCTATCAGTTATAAAATCAGATCTTTCAGACTACTTTCCCTATGCTCTTTAGAGGATGAGATATTATAAATTCTTTACAGAAATAGGTATAATGGCTCCAAATAATATTTGCATCTATGTGTAGCCATACTTCTTTTTATTTTATTAGGTACTGAAGATGATCTGGAATTCTATGTCAGAAAATGTGGTGATATCCTAGGGGTAACTAATAAACTGCCAAAGGAACAGCAAGATGCCAAGCATATACTGGAGCATATTTTCTTTCAAGTGGTGGAGTTCAAGAAGCTAAATCAAGTAATTACTGAACATTTTCCTTCCAGCCATGTCTAATGGTTTTACAGGTGGTCCTTGCTTAACGACTACTCGTTCAGCGACCATTTAAACTTATGATGGCACTGAATGAATAGTAGTTACGACCGGTCCTTGTACTTATGACCGTCACGTCCCCATGGTCACAGGATTGCGATCTGGGTGCTTGGCGCCTGGCTCACAATTACAACTTCGTAGCATCCTGCAATTATGTGATCGCAATTTGTGACCTTCCCTGCCGCCTTCCAACAAGCAAAGTCAATGGGGAAACCAGCAGGAAGCCACAAGTTGTGGTCATGTGGCCCACGCAGCCCTCACTTAACGGCAACCAGGACTGCCATTGCTAAGTGGCACAGTCATGTGGTTAACCAACCCCCCCCA